CAGAATCAAGCGAGAGCAGACGAGACCAGATCAGACTGGACCAAATGGGGACAGACGAGACCAGATCAGACTAGACTAGAGCGGGGCCAGACCAGACCAAACCAGACCAGACGAGACCAGATCAGATAGACCCAGGCGAGACCAGACCAGACCAAACCAGACCAGACGAGACCAGATCAGACTAGACCAGACGAGACCAGACCAGACCAAACCAGACCAGACGAGACCAGATCGGACTAGACCAGACGAGACCAGACCAGACCAAACCAGACCAGACCAAACCAGACAAAACGAGACCAGATCAGACTAGACCAAACCAGACTAGACGAGACCAGATCAGACTAGACCAAACGAGACCAGATCACACCTTGTAAATAGAGAGGAACATGCTGAATTCCTCCAAATAAATGAGTGACTGATGACCAAATGATTTAATAAATGAGTGTAATCTAGGATTCCTCCAGGGTGGTTCTTTCTGTGTAAAACAGTTCGATCTTGGAGTCACCCAGAAATGCTGAATACATAACAAGGCCAATCAACAGAGTTTGCTTCTGAATATTCATGCACAGATGATGCTCACAGTCAATATGTTTGATTTTTTTTCTGTTTACTAATAGATTTTCAAATTCACTGTGTAAACCAAAATTCTTAAAAAAAAAAAAAAAAAAGGAACTTGTGTTGAAAGCATATATTATTTCTGGGCAGAGTTGTCAGATTAAAATCTTTATACTAAAAATCATTCATTGTTTATCTGAAATTCTAATTTAAGCAGGCACTCTGTATTTTTATTTACTAAATCTGGCAACCCCTTTCTGGACCAATAACCCTACGCAGAGAAGAGAACAGATGATAGCTTCTAGGGGACATGCCTGAAGAGAACAGATGATAGCTTCTAGGGGACATGCCTGCATCTGGGAGTTAGAAGGAAGGAAAACGAAAGAAGGAGCCAGAGAGGTAGAGAGAGGAGTCTGCAGAACTATGGAGAGAGAACCAGGTGAGCATGGAGCTCTATTGAATAGTGACACACATGTCGGGGAGAGGTGGGGACCATGAGGATGCTGGGTTAAGAAAGGCCTGATCGCTATAGAGTTTGGCCTTTGCAAGGGGGGGATGGTGCTTCTGAGAAGTTCTAATGAGTGGTTCTTGATGAAGTTGGGGTGGAGATAAGGATGCATGTTGGAATCAGTCAGAATATATCAAAATTGAAATCTATGTACCATAGGTAGTGCCCTTCCTCTCGAGGGGTGGGGAGAAAGACATGTGTGTGTAACTTTTATCAACCCAGAACTCAAGTGGTCAAGTTTTGGGTCCATGTTATGGTTACTAACGCACAAAATAAATTTGGAAAAGAGCATATAAATCTTTTCTTGTATTTTTCTTGAAAATCACGAAGGAGGTCTATAATTTGCAATAATGAATTCAAAAGTCCTTCTCATCTTCATTTTACCTCCTTCACAGCCTCTGCTGTTGTCTGCTGTACTGCTCTCCATAATTTTCTCAGATTGCAGAAATCCCCCTCCTCCCGTCTATTTATTTTTATCACATAAATCAACTTAGCCTCTCTTTCCAGCAAAAAGGTCCAATCAACTTCCCCAACCCTGTCCCAAATGAAGGGTGCGGAACTGAGCTGGCAATTACAGACTATTCTTTGGCAGTATTCTGGGAAAGGGAAAAGTACGAATTTTCTTGCCCTGTCCCTGGTATTTTGTAAAGCTTTCCAAGTGACTTTGATATCTGGACCCCTTTGAGAACTGCTGCTCTTAACCAAGACATAAATCTTTTTCATTTCTTGAAAGGTCCTATTTCTTGACAAATTTCTCCCTGCAAAGTGCATTCTTTTTTCTGCACTGACCCTAGAAAGAGGTGCCATTGTGTGGGAGAAAATACCTGTCATCTGTCTCAACAAAGTCCACAAATTGCCCTGCTAGGAGCAGATAACCCAAAACATCTACCTGAGTCTCCCAGTCAAGATTCCTGGTCTGACTAGGAATCTAACTTCAATAAGATCTTCCTGAAAAAAGATGCTGAGCTTGGATGGTCCAACCACCTTTCTATCTGGGATGAGCTGGAAGATACTTCTTGGCTTCCCCAAAGCTGCCTTGGTGGTGATGCCGTGGCAGCCACAGGGAGATTCAGGAGGAGCCAGCCTGGAAGACCTGAGCCCTGGAAGTGGGCAGCCAGCCCAGCAGGACATTCGTTGGGGTGAAGTGTGATCTCAGCCTTCATTCAGCTGACCTGGGAGTCCTCCAAGGGCCAGAGTCATACCCAACTCGTCTGACCCCTCAAGGTTCCTTAGGACTCCGGGTGTTTTAAGAAAATTCTCTGACTCCCCACCCTTCCCACTTCACCCCTCAGCCCTCCTTGTGGTTAAGAACTCAAGTGTGAACAACCCCAAAGTTGGTGGTTAGTGAGGCATTCAAGCACAAACTCTAATCCTGCCCTTTTTAAAAAAATATTTTGGACTTGAGAGAGGCTGTCCTCAATTGTTTCAAACCTATTTCAGAGTACCTCCACTCCTTCAAACCTATTTTCAAAACGCAGGAAAACGTCGCCTTTCCAGACGAACTCTAGTGACAGCTCCATTCACCCCTTGGCATTTGACTGCTAAAGATCAGCTGACCCCTGTAGCCAGAAGGAGCAGAGAAACTTACTAAACAGGGACCTCGTTCCCAGAGGAGGTGATCACCTTAAAAAAGTCTGGGGCCTTGTTTGCCAGCTTTGAAATTTCAAATTTCATCTTAGCTTCATGCCCCCAGTGTGAAAAAACAAATAAAAACCACCTATGAAATCTACATTCAAACTTTCTTGTGACCTATGCATCATTTTTTGGCATTCACATTCCCAGTCAAAACACACACACACACACACACACACCAGATATATAACTGCATGTAAGATATATATACATAAAACAATGTCCTCCGAAGAATATAAATGCTAACACAAGTAAAATTATCATGAATTCTGTGGCCTTGGTCCGCGTTAGGTTTTCCATTAAGAGACACTATTGTCACCCGTGAGTAGCTTCTCCTGTTGTGTTCTTCTGTGCAGCACGGGGCTGGAGCTGTGGATATTCATGAACCCCAGGAATCATGAACCCCAGGCACCCACTTCCTGTCTTCGTGGCTGTCCCTGTGGCTGTCCCTGGTCCCTGCCTCTGTGCGGTTTTCTCTACCTTTGGCCACCAGATGGCGCTCTGGAAACGAGTTTTCTGCATCAAAGCTCCCTTGCATTACTCTCAACTAGGCTCCCTCCCTCTTCTCTGTTCCCTTCCAAGTCATTTTCCAGGGTGCAGCCAAAAGGCCTTTCTGGAGGGTACATCTGTGTGATCTTGGGCAAGTTACCTAACGCTCTGTGCTCAGCATCTTCAATGTGCTGGCATGGCTGTGTGTCATGAGAGGATGTAAGCAAAACACTCAGGACAAAGCCTGGCATGTGGTCGCTGTTCTCATTATCCTGTGTTGAGCTTTTCAAAAGCGCCCCACGACCTTCAGGACAAGGTCTAAATTCTTAGCCATGGGAACCCAGGCCACTGCATCATTTGAGGACCCCTGTTTATGTCCTCCGCCCCACCTTCCTCCCTACGCTACTGCACCAACCCTCTTGCAGCACAGCCGGGAGCCAGCCTACCCACCTCGAGGCCTTTGCCCATTTTGCTGCCACCACCAGCTTTGCCTCTCCCCTGCCCATTCAACTTCCTCGGGCTCATTCCTCCAGGTCCGTCAGGATTCAGTATGTGCCCTCCATGAGGAGCCTCCCAGACCCCCAGGCCTGATTCCGGAGCCACTCCACTGGCCTCTCGCCTTTCATTGTCCCTGCCCCCACCTGCGACTGTCAGCCCCCTGCCTTGTTCACTGTCAGGCACACAGGGGGACGAATGTGGGGTGCAGTGAGGCTGTCACATGGGCTAACTGCCAGCAGGGGGCAATGGGCACCCTTGTGTCCCTGAGCTCCCAGGGGCTCCTAGTAGCTTCGGCAGCACCTTGCTCACACCAAGCTGAGGGAGACCTGAGAAATGGGATTCCTGCCAAAGAGGCAAAAAAAAAAAAAAAAGTGAAGGGACAAATGCAAGGCCATCTTTGCCATTTGCATATGAGGCATAAAACCTGGAAGATAACAAAAGGCAAAATCATAGTCCCGATGTGCTGAGTGCTTTCTCTGAGCCAGGCCCTGTGCTGAGTCCTTACCCCATCGTGTGAGATGGATGACAGCCCTCAGAGAAGGAAACAGAGGCTGGGAGAGGTTAAGGCCCTGTGCAGTGTCTCAGAGCTTGTGAGTGGCCTGTCTGTCTCCAGGACCATGATATAGGAGGTGGCCCTGGATTCAGGCCACTTGCTATGGTTTAATGGGTTTCAGTGAAATAGTTGGGAAACCTCAGGAGTGGGATATGGAGTTAAAGGAAAGAAAAGCCAGAGAGAAAGAGGAGTGCAGGTGACTGCCCCTTAGCCACCTCAGTCCTGATGGCCACAGGCTTCCATGCCAATAAGCCCTGACTAGTGCCACTTAGGTCCAAACATGGTACCTCTGGCCCCAAGGGCTTAGTAGCAAACACCCATCTAGGGAAGTTGGTCTTCATTCTCATCACCTCAAATGCTTCACAAGCCTCAGGGATCAACCGTGAAGTGGGTATAAGGCTGGGAGAATGTTGGGGGCAGCAAATTGAAGGGCATAATGAGAAGCAGTAAGGCCACCTCAAAGCCCACCCAAGCAAACTGCACATTCACCTCCTTCCTTACTGAATTTTACCTTATGAGGAGGTGAGTGGGAGGGAGGGCATCCCTTAAAACATCTAAAATGAGAGTTGGGTTCAGCAAAGGAGTTGTGCTTCACGGGACTCTTATAAACAGAACTGGGGAGAGAAGAATTGGAGGAAGGGGGAAAGACATAGATGAAAGGGAGGGGAAGGTGTGGGAGAGGGAAATGTATAAAAGCTTCCAAGAGGAGTGGGAGGCTGGGGGTTCCCCAGACAGAGACTCAGGCTGGACCAGATGCAGAGAACAATAGACTTCAAGGCTGGAGGGGGGGCGGGGGCTGAAGGGAAGCAGGAGGAGAGCCACACAGTCAAGTCACACGGGTTCTTGCAGCTTTTGGAATCAAGACCATGGGCACCCTCATAGATCAGTGTGGGCAAGGACTGGCCCAGGGCCAATACAAGATCCAGAGGTAGCCATAGGGTGTGACAAGTTGTGCAGATTACAACACTCACCCCTTGCAATAACGTCACTGCCTGTGACAGGGGGCCAGGCCCAGGCCAAAGCCCTTCATGTATCATTTCGTTTAATCCTCACAGTTTCCCGCTGAAAGGGCTACTATTCTTACTCCCATCCCCACTCTACAGATGAGGTAATGGAGGCCCAGAGAGGTTAAATGACTTGTCCCAGATGACACAGCTGGTAAGTTGCAAAATCAGAATTTGAACTCAGGCAGTTTAGCTCTCATGGCTGCACTGTTAATCACAGCTGCAGTGAGACAAAAACAGGTGATCAGGGCAGAGTCAAGACAGAGAGGTAAACAAGAGTGGGAAAAAGACAGGCGTGAGAGGGGAACAATGGGGGAAAAGATAGGAACAAAGAGAGTTGGGGAAGGGGAGAGAAACAGGAAACATGACTTGCCCGGGAGGGGCATCAGTCCGCTTGCAAGCAGGTGGAGGTTCAAGTTTTCTGCTCACTTGGTGATGCAGAGGCTCCCTTTCCCTCAGCAGCAGCCTTGCTGCATGGATAGCAGCTTCCCATCTGGCCTGTCCCCGGAGCCCCAGCCTCATCCTCCTCAGCGGCAGGCCACTTAGCTTCACAGGAAATGCTCTTTCTCTAATTGGCATTGAAACTCACAGCCCTCCCTTTTCCTGTAGGTGGGGTTTCCATAGGAAAAAGCTGCTTCTCTGTTTCCCCAGCCTAGCAACTGTTTGGAAGTCAGAGTCCCACATCCTGCTCAACTGGGTCAGGTCCCTCTTAGACCAGCTCTTGTCCATCATTTGCTGAAGTGGACCAGCTAGTTCCCCTGTAGGGGTCTATCCTGGCAATTCTTGATCGGCGTTTGGATATCTCAGATCGCTTCCGATGAAGATGGCCTTGCCTGGGGGTCCTGCTTGTTCCATCATCATCTAACTATGGGACAAGGTTGTGCCAGCAGGTCCGGGGGAAGGAGCACGGGGCTGATCAAGCCATCCAGGAAACACTGGAGGACTTGTCCAGCCTTGAAAGAACTCTAGCAGTTTCTGAATGTGGCCCACTTGGTGGTAAGCATGATGCAACTTCTACAACTTCTGCTGGGGCTTTTGGGGCCAGGTGGCTACTTATTTCTTTTAGGGGATGGTCAGGAGGTAACCACTCTCACGGTGAAATACCAAGTGTCAGAGGAAGTGCCATCTGGCACAGTGATCGGGAAGCTGTCCCAGGAGCTGGGCCGGGAGGAGAGGCAGAGGCAAGCTGGGGCTGCCTTCCAGGTGTTGCAGCTGCCTCAGGCGCTCCCCATTCAGGTGGACTCTGAGGAAGGCTTGCTCAGCACAGGTAGGCGGCTGGATCGAGAGCAGCTATGCCGACAGTGGGATCCCTGCCTGGTTTCCTTTGATGTGCTTGCCACAGGGGATTTGGCTCTGATCCACGTGGAGATCCAAGTGCTGGACATCAATGACCACCAGCCACGGTTTCCCAAAGGCGAGCAGGAGCTGGAAATCTCTGAGAGTGCCTCTCTGCGCACCCGGATCCCCCTGGACAGAGCTCTTGACCCAGACACAGGCCCTAACACCCTGCACACCTACACTCTGTCTCCCAGTGAGCACTTTGCCTTGGATGTCATTGTGGGCCCTGATGAGACCAAACACGCAGAACTCGTAGTGGTGAAGGAGCTGGACAGGGAAATCCATTCATTTTTTGATCTGGTGTTAACTGCCTATGACAATGGGAACCCCCCCAAGTCAGGTACCAGCTTGGTCAAGGTCAACGTCTTGGACTCCAATGATAATAGCCCTGTGTTTGCTGAGAGTTCACTGGCACTAGAAATCCAAGAAGATGCTGCCCCTGGTACTCTTCTCATAAAACTGACTGCCACGGACCCTGACCAAGGCCCCAATGGGGAGGTGGAGTTCTTCCTCAGTAAGCACATGCCTCCAGAGGTGCTGGACACCTTCAGTATTGATGCCAAGACAGGCCAGGTCATTCTGCGTCGACCTCTAGACTATGAAAAGAACCCTGCCTACGAGGTGGATGTCCAGGCAAGGGATCTGGGTCCCAATCCCATCCCAGCCCATTGCAAAGTTCTCATCAAGGTTCTGGATGTCAATGACAACATCCCAAGCATCCATGTCACATGGGCCTCCCAGCCATCACTGGTGTCAGAAGCTCTTCCCAAGGACAGTTTTATTGCTCTTGTCATGGCAGATGACTTGGATTCAGGAAACAATGGTTTGGTCCACTGTTGGCTGAGCCAAGAGCTGGGCCACTTCAGGCTGAAAAGAACTAATGGCAACACATACATGTTGCTAACCAATGCCACACTGGACAGAGAGCAGTGGCCCAAATATACACTCACTCTGTTAGCCCAAGACCAAGGACTGCAGCCCTTATCAGCCAAGAAACAGCTCAGCATTCAAATCAGTGACATCAACGACAACGCACCTGTGTTTGAGAAAAGCAGGTACGAAGTCTCCACACGGGAAAACAACGTACCCTCTCTTCACCTCATTACCATCAAGGCTCATGATGCAGACTTGGGTATTAATGGAAAAGTCTCATACCGCATCCATGATTCCCCAGTTGCTCACTTAGTAGCTATTGACTCCAACACAGGAGAGGTCACTGCTCAGAGGTCACTGAACTATGAAGAAATGGCAGGCTTTGAGTTCCAGGTGATCGCAGAGGACAGCGGGCAACCCATGCTTGCATCCAGTGTCTCTGTGAGGGTCAGCCTCTTGGATGCCAATGATAATGCCCCAGAGGTGGTCCAGCCTGTGCTCAGCGATGGAAAAGCCAGCCTCTCTGTGCTTGTGAATGCCTCCACAGGCCACCTGCTAGTGCCTATCGAGACTCCCAATGGCTTGGGTCCAGCAGGCACTGACACACCTCCGCTGGCCACTCACAGCTCCCGGCCATTCCTTTTGACAACCATTGTGGCAAGAGATGCAGACTCGGGGGCAAATGGAGAGCCCCTCTACAGCATCCGCAGTGGAAATGAAGCCCACCTCTTCATCCTCAGCCCCCATGCAGGGCAGCTGTTTGTCAACGTTACCAATGCCAGCAGCCTCATTGGGAGTGAGTGGGAGCTGGAGATAGTGGTAGAGGACCAGGGAAGCCCCCCTTTACAGACCCGAGCCCTGTTGAGGATCTTATTTGTCACCAGTGCTGACCACCTGAGGGACTCAGCCCGCAAGCCTGGGGCCTTGAGCATGTCGATGCTGACAGTGATCTGCCTGACTGTACTGCTGGGCATCTTCGGGTTGATCCTGGCTTTGTTCATGTCCATCTGCCGGACAGAGAAGAAGGACAACAGGGCCTACAACTGTCGGGAGGCCGAGTCCACCTACCGCCAGCAGCCCAAGAGGCCCCAGAAACACATTCAGAAGGCGGACATCCACCTCGTGCCTATGCTCAGGGGTCAGGCAGGTGAGCCTTGTGAAGTTGGGCAGTGCCACAAAGACGTGGACAAGGAGGCGATGATGGAAGCAGGCTGGGACCCCTGCCTTCAGGCCCCCTTCCACCTCACCCCGACCCTGTACAGGACGCTACGTAATCAAGGCAACCAGGGAGCACCGGCGGAGAGCCGAGAGGTGCTGCAAGACACCGTCAATCTCCTTTTCAACCATCCCAGGCAGAGGAACGCCTCCCGGGAGAACCTGAACCTTCCCGAGCCCCAGCCTGCCACAGGCCAGCCACGTTCCAGACCTCTGAAAGTTGCAGGCAGTCCCACAGGGAGGCTGGCTGGAGACCAGGGCAGTGAGGAGGCCCCACAGAGCCCACCAGCCTCCTCTGCAACCCTGAGACGGCAGCGACATCTCAATGGCAAAGAGTCCCCTGAGAAAGAATTAGGGCCCCGTCAGATCCTGCGGAGTCTGGTCCGGCTGTCTGTGGCTGCCTTCGCCGAGCGGAACCCCGTGGAGGAGCTCACTGTGGATTCTCCTCCTGTTCAGGTACCTGGGGCATGGGCAGCTCTTTCTCTGGTCACTCCTGACCACCAGAAACAGCATCAGACACCCCCATAATCTGCACAGTCCTCATGTTTCTTCCTTAGGCTCACCTGGTGCTTTTTGATGCTTTGGATAGCAGTGGTTCAGGGCACAGCTTTGTGACTGGCTGAACTTAGGCAAATTCCTTACTGTCTCTGGGCCTTAGTTGTCTTATCTGTAAATTAGAAATGATAGTAAGAGTATCTACCTCGTAGAGTTGTCCAAAGGATTTGATCAATTAGTTCCTACAAGGCATTTATGGTGCCTCACAAGTAGACACACAGCAAAGGTAGTGACTAAGAGTATAAGCTTTGGGCAAGGTTGCCTGAGTTCAAATCCTAGCTCCACTTCTTCCTAGCTCTGAACCACAGGAGAAGTTAACTTCTCTGTTGAAAGATGTCTGTGTTAACAGCACCCATCTTCTAAGTTTGCTTGAAGATAAAATGAGTGAATGCTCTTAATGTCTGTAGAACAGCGTCCATCTGACATGCAGTCAGTACTCAGCAAATTATTGCTATTCCTTCCTCAAAGCACTTCTCCATCTCCACTCTCTGCCTGCCCTCATCTCATCTGGGCAACCTCCCTATGAAGAAGGCCAGCATAGGCATCATTGCACCCAAACCCAGGTGTAGCAAATAATTTGTCTGAGACCCCAGAGCTTTCTGGCTGGGCCTGCAGGATGCGGCAGAGGAAATAACCTTAGAACTTTGCAGTTAGGCAGATTGGGGTTCAAATTTCAACAGTCACTTAGGAGCTGGGCAACCTTGTACACATCCTTCAACATCTGAGCCTCATTTTCCTCATCTATAAAATGGGGATTATGAGACCAAACTTACTCTGTATCTGCCTCCTTAGAGTGTGAGGTCTAAATGGGATGATGAGTGACAGAATGTCTAAGGACCTGGGATTTTCTAGACACAAGTGTGGAAACCTTTTCAGGAATGATGCCTGATCTCACACCCATATCTGCTTCTGTGAACCTCAGATATTTTCACTGTGCCAGGCTGCCTGCCCAAGGCACACCTCTGTTTGGCCAGGCCATCAGTTCATGTTTCCTGTGAAGCAAAACACAGTTTCCTTCCCTTACTCCCTCCTCAGGAAGCCACCTGGAGATGGCCCAGCTGTTCTCTTAGGAATCTTGCCCTGGAATCGGTGCAGACCCAGAGGTTGCCAGAGCCAACCACTAATTTATCTTTCCATTCATCCATCCATTTATCAGGTGCTTTTTGGATAAACTCTGTGCTGAGCACTGTGCTGGCTGCTGGTAGACAGGACAACAGAGAATAAGCACCGTGGGTGGCCCTGCTGAGGTGATAGAAAGAAAGGTGCCCATTTGGGATCAACTTGAGGCTGCTTGCCCAACGCTCATATCTTTCCAGCAGCACACAGAGTAGATCTGAGTTTAAATTCCAGCCCTCCCACTAATTTCTATGTAGCCCCTGTGAGCCTCCAATTCCACCTCTGCAAAGTGGCTATAATGGTATCTCTTCCCTTAGGCTGTTGTAAGAATTAAGGGAGATTATATGACACTGGACAATCATTGTTTATCATGGGATCTATTAATAAGCTCATTTAAACCTCATAACCCACCATATGATCTGGGTCTCATTAATATTCACTTTTTTTACTGTTGAGGAAACTGAGGCTCAGAATGCTTAAGTAATTCCTCAAGGCCACATTGATGGGAACTGGGGCAGGGGCATATTTAGGATTTGAACCTGAGTCTGACTGATTTGAATCTGGGCTGTAACTGTGAAGTGACCCTGAATGACAGTGCTCAGCATAGGGATTGGCATGTAGGGAGTCATGTCATGAAATGCCAGCTGTCACTTGAGCAAAGGGTGGCAGGTAACTTAGGAGGGCTTCTGGGCCTGGGCTGGGAGGTGGGATCTTCCCTGAGGCAGGCAATGAGACCCTGAGTCTCCCAAGTCACAGTGAAACCCCAGTCCTGGCCATCTCCTCTTCCAACTCTCCTCTGAGGTTGACACTTCCTACCTCAAGCTGCACCGAGGGGCACGGTGGACCTCCTAAGGGAGGAATGGGGGTGGACCCAGGAGGTTGAAGTAGTGTTTCTAGGAATAACAGTCCAAACTCCTTGCTTTTGCAGAGGATTTTTAACTTTTTCAAACCATTTAATCTTGACAACACTGAGAAGAAGGCTGTATGGGTATTTCTAGCCCCCCATTAGAGATGAGGAAACTGAGGTCTGAGGAGGTCTAAAAGCCTGTCTAACACTATACAATAAGCTACAAATGGCCTTGAACTAGAACTCTGCCTCCCAGGACTTGATCTATTGCCTTTCCCTCCCAGTGGCCTATAGGGTCTGGCCCTGATAGGTCACCCATCCCCTACTCCATTCTCCAATCTTTCTGAAACTCTGCCTTCTCTTCCAGCCTTTCAGTGTGCAGTGCTTCTGCCTGAAACCACCCGCCTCTCACCATCACCCCTTGCCCAGACCCTCATTCTCTTTCCACTTGCCAAACTCCTATGGAGCCTTTGGGTCTCAGCAGAGGTGCCTGGCATGTAGTATGAACTCAGTAACATCTGTTGAAATGAATGAATGAACTTAATCCAGTACCACCCCCCTGCTTCCTCCCTGCTCCAAGTTGGGTTAGGGGCCTTCCTCCACTCCCACAGAGCCCCCACTCTTTCCCTACGCCCAGAGGCAACCCCTGTGGTAACCACTCTTCGCTGCTCCCCCACTCCCTGTGGGGCTGCCTGCAACCTTCACCTCCTGACAGATATGACCATGCTGAGGGCAGCGGCTGGGTCTCCTTCTCCTTCTTACTCCCATTGCAACCACCCTGCCTGGCACTTATTAAGTACTTGTTGAATGAATGAATGAAAAGATGAATAAATGAATAATTTAATGACACCATTTTGCCTTCTCTACAACATAGTCTTACATCTGGTCCACAAAAATCAACCCAATGTCCAAATACTGCTAAAGGGGACATAACTCTTTAAGATAATCTTCATCAAAGTAACAACAAATTGATGGTCAGGAAATGCCTTTTTCACCCCTATCTCTCAGAGTCCACCAGGCGCAGGACACTCGGAGGAATGAGTGTGAGGGGATGGGCCCAGAGGGTCCTCTTGCTCTCCTTCAGACACTCAGGTCCTGGGGTGACATGACAGAGCAGGGGACCTGCCTGCCCAGGTCCCTGTCTCTGCCACTGGGCACCATCCCCCATCTGATCACACAAACATCTGAAGCCAGAGGAAAGACTATAAAAAGAAAGCACCGGCATTGAGGGAAACATCCGGCGAGGAAGTGTGCTGAGTCGGAATTGTGTGGAGTCAACAGATTTTTCCTGTCTTGTAGCAAATCTCCCAGCTGCTGTCCTTGCTGCATCAGGGCCAATTCCAGCCGAAACCAAACCACCGAGGAAATAAGTACTTGGCCAAGCCAGGAGGCAGCAGGTAAGCAGCACGTAGCCCCTACAGGCATCTCATGGCCCCTACTGGCTGCCCCTCATCTCTGCAGCCTCTATGAGTGAGGAAGGGTGAGCCCATCCCAGACACCGGTCCCCTGGGAGGGTGCAGCAGACAGCATCCATCCTCCCACCCTGGGAGGCTTGGTCATGGAGTGACTGTATTGATAGTATTTACACGACCTAGAAGTCCTATAGGACTATCAAGCTGTATTAATAAATACTATCAATACAGTAGTCACCAAGGAAATGACTTCATCCCTGAGGCTCGATTCGTCCCCTGATTACAGAGGTGCTGTAAATTGCCTTTATATCTGTAACTGTCACCTCTCTTTCTCTTGGCCCATAAACGTAATATGAAGGCTCCCCACTAAAGACATGGATATGTGGGCGTGTCCCTTTGGGCAATCCTAGAATTGAAGACCCCTTAAGAGAACATCAAATCCAACTTCTTGTTATGGATGGATAAACTGAGGCTCTGAATAGTTTGATTCAAACCAGCTATGTAAACTTGAGCAAGTGAGATAATCTCTCAGGACCTTGGTTTCCCCATCTGTAAAATAGAAGCCATCCCATTTCCCTTGTAGTAATGGGGTGAGAATTTCATGATCAATTGTATTCTAAGCCCATAGCCCAGGACTGACGCATAGTAGGTGCACACACAATGCTAACTCCTTTCCCCTTGAAGCAATTTTGCTAAAGGTCATGTAACAAGTGAGTGGCAAAGCTGGGACCAGCTCTCAGAGTTCCTGACTCCTGCATCAGTGCTCTTGCCCTGACAACTTATAGCTTCTTTTTACAAGGATGGCAAGAGGTAGTGTACGGCAGGGGTGAGTCCACACACTCCAGAGTCACACTGGCCTGGATTTGAATTCTTGCTTTATCTCTTAATCTACGGGGACCTTGGGAACCTGCAAAATCTTCACAAGTCTTGGTTTTCTCATTTGTACAATGGGGTGATTAAAGAGAACCCTTTACAGGTGTGGAAGGTTTGAATGAGACGGTGCATGGACCTTGCATCACATGAGGCCTGACTCAGACTCACTGCTCAATAAACATTAGTTGTCATTATCACCCACACACTTGCCACCTCCCTGCTCATTTCTTCACAGCAGCAGAAATGGCTACAGGGGGAAAAATCCCAAACAAACAGAAAGGACTCCTACGCCTTAAAACCCCTCAGAAGCCTTTCCACCTGCTGGGATGAGGGTCCAGGCCTGTCCCCAAGTGTCCATGGGAGAGAGGGGCCAGGATGGAGACAGCAGGAGACTGGGATGCAGGTAGCAGATTCTGAGCAGCTTTAGGCTGCCTCACTCCAGCTGCACCCTCCATAGGTCTGTTCTTCTGGCCTAGGTTTTGGCCTACAGTAGGAAGGAAGGAATGTTCAGTCACTCATTAAGTGTTGATTCAGCACCCGCTGTGTGCCACGCCCTGTTCTGAGCATCAGTGAGGGAGCGGGGAATGAGACAGGCAAAAATCCCAGCCTTGCTAGAGCTCTTCTTCTATGGATGGATGGACTGCTGCACTGGCTCCACTGAAGTTTACTAAACTCCTCCTGTGTGCCAGGAAATACCTAGGCATGGGAGGAGCAACGAGAATGATATCAATGAACTCATCTTCACTTCTGTCTGCTGAGTGCTTACAATGTGCCAGGCTTTGTGGTAGGCCCCTTTACCTACAACGTCTGATTTTACCCTCACAATACCCTGTGAGGTGGGTGTTATTTATTACTCCCATTTTACAGATGAGGAAACAGAGTAAGAGGAGGGCTGGAATCACATGATCCAGGTTGGTCTGACTGCAGAGGCCAGGCTGTGAATCCAGTTCCCTATACGGGTAAATGAATGCAAACATAAATGGGCGTGAATGAATGGGTCTATATAGGAATGTCCTTACCCGTGGACTGGTTGGTTTCTTTTGTAGGAGTGCAATCACAGACACAGATGGCCCAAGTGCGAGGGCTGGAGGCCAGACAGACCCAGAACAGGAGGAAGGGCCTTTGGATCCTGAAGAGGACCTCTCTGTGAAGCAATTGCTAGAAGAAGAGCTGTCAAGTCTGCTGGACCCCTGCACAGGTAGGGACCCCCTAGAGTCACCTTGCGCCATGGTGTCCAGGCTTCAGAGTTCTACTCCAATCCACTGCAGGGAAAAGCCATTCTGTTTCTGTGGAGGAACATCAGCAACATTTAACTTCCCTTTCACCCTTGCAGCCTCAGAAAGTATTTTAAAGACTGGGTTCTACTTTGATTTTTTTTTTAGACAGGGTCTTGCTTTGTCACCCAGGCTGGAGTAGAGTGGCGTGATCACAGGGTGATCACAGCTCACTGCAGCATTGACCTCCTGGGCTCAGGTGATCCTCCCACCTTGGCCTCCCAAGTAGCTGGGACTACAGGTGAGCACCACCACATCTCGCTGTTTTGATTGTTTTTTTTTTGGTAGAGACAGGGATTCACATGTTGCCCAGGCTGGTCTCCAACTCCTGGGCTCAAGCAATCCGCCCACCTCAGCCTCCCAAAGTGCTGGCGTTAGAGGCATGAGCCACCTGTAATCAAAGCCAAAGTAGGCACCCGGCCTACTTTGATTATTCATTTTAAAAATCACTGTAAGAATAGTGAACATGCCAGGCACAGGGGAAGCATCTTATGTACATGATCTCTTTTTTTTTTTTTTTTTTTTTTTTGCGATGGAGTCTCGCTCTGAGGCCCAGGCTGGAGTGCAGTGGCCAGATCTCAGCTCACTGCAAGCTCCGCCAACCGGGTTCACGCCATTCTCCTGCCTCAGCCTCCCGAGTAGCTGGGACTACAGGCGCCCGCCACCTCGCCAGGCTAGTTTTTTTTTTGTATTTTTTAGTAGAGACGGGGTTTCACCGTGTCAGCCAGGATGGTCTCGATCTCCTGACCTCGTGATCCACCCGTCTCGGCCTCCCAAAGTGCATGATCTCATTTAAGCCTCCAGCCAAACTCCTCAAGTAGATAATTATTACCTCGAATTTACAGATGAGCGAACCAAGGCTCAAAAAATCGAGTAGCCATCCCAGAGTCACCCGGCTCACCAGTGATCGAAGGGGAGCCAAACCCTGAGCCAGCCTCTCCTCTATGGACTTCTTACCACTCATTTGCGTCTGGTGTGTTTTAATACCCTTTCGCCCTGGGAACCAGGTCAACTCTTTAACATGCTAACAATTGCAATTAAAACAAAAAGAATTTTGCAGAGAAACAATTAGCTTTGACAATAAATACATAATGTGAATTTGAATTCAAGAATCTGCTAGCACCCCCCTGCGCCTGCTACGGACATTGGTCAGCCTTCTTTGGTAACACACTCCACGGCGGACCATCCCTGTGCTGTGGTTTTCTATCTATGTAGTTAATACTGTTTCTCATGTGCTCCATCTGGCTGCAGACACACTGAAGGCACGGCAGGGACTTTTCTCCCTGGTTAAAAAAATATTGCTAATGCTTATTGGGCACTTTCTATGTGCTAGGCCCTGTTCTAAGTACCTCATGAGAAAATCTTATGAGATAGGGACTATTCATTATCCACACTTCATAAAGGAAAAATGTGAGGGTCAGGGGTGTTTAATAATTTGCCCAAGGTTGCGCAGCTCATGGATAGTTATAAACACAGGCAGTGTGGCTCTAAATTTTAGAGCTGTGTTGTTCAATGCGGTAGTCACTAGCCACATGTGGCTATTTAACTTTAAATGAATTAAAATTAAATAAAATGAAATATTCAGTTCTTCTACCATATCGGCCACATTTCAAGTGCTCAATAGCTACTTATGGCTGGCGGATATAGCTTTGGATTCTATCTCTATTCATCAGCTCTGGCTGGAACCTGTGGGGTCAGTCCCCACACGGTCCTGCTTGCCCATAGCACAAAGGGTACTGAACACAGGACCACTGCAAGGAGTGGGGGGTAAGGAAAGAGGAGGGGCAGAAAAGCCTTTGCCGCTCACAGGCTGGACTGCCTTGGGGAGACTGGGATCTTGCTGCTTCAGATTGCTTCAGATTTGCTGCTTCAGATTCAGATTGCCCTACTTGAGAATGTGACCATGATAATGTTTTACTGGTTGCATGAACTCATTGAACCTCACAACAACTCCACAAGATAAGTACTACTGTCTCACCACTTCCTAAGAGGAAACGGGAGCTTAGAGAGGTTAAGCCATCTTCCCAAGGTCACACACACTGCCCCTAAGCGGCAAAGTTGGGAAATCAAACCCGGGTTGGCCCAGAGCCCACCTGCAGCTAGAACTGGTGGGTAATGCTGGGTGAATTCAGCATCACTTTTCAGCTGTTCTCATATGCCCCAGCGATTTTCTCATTCCAAGCTTCACTCCTTCTGAAGCTCTCTGATCCATGTACAAGGAAAGGCCTGATTCTACAACACCAAGAGTTCCATCCAACCTTATAGCCTCGGAGTCTCAAGGAACTAAGGTTTGCATTTCCCAGATGTTGAAGGTTAATATTTATGTTCATTCAATCATTCAACAAACATTCACTAAGTCCCAGGCATGGGGCTAAACCCAAGGATCCTGTAGGGCAGGAGCCCAACACTGTCTCACAACCTGCACAGTCCAGAATGCAAGACACAGATTCATTTATCAGTACAAAAAATGACTACCCGTACTTCAGAATAACTTTTTCAAATTACATAAGTAGTATTTGGTTAATACAGAAAAACACAGATAAACAAAAAGAGAATGGATTGCTTTTGCCCAGAGGTAATTTCAGTTAACATTTTGACATATCTCCTTCCAGTCTTTTATTCTGTGCACAGATTTTAAAGTAACTCACCTTAGGCAAACATTTGATAAATGTTAAGTAGATGTTGTGCTTTTTTTTTTTTAAAATTTTTTTTAAGACACTGTTTCTTAACTATAAGACTTATAGTTTCTTTCCTCTGGCTTGGTCTCTACCACCAGGCCTGGGACTGGTTTCTTGAAACAGGATTTTCTTTTGAAGGGATGGGAAAAGAAGTGTGACTGTGGCATTGCAAATGTAGGGGCCAGTTTTTTGAATTCCCAGCCACCAGGCTGGCTTGCCACCACCACTACCCCAGTCCCTCTCCTGGGACAGCCCTTGGACAGGCAGCCCCTCCCCAGCCTGACTCTTGGCCAGGGTTTCCGGCAGCTTGAGAGATGATGTTGAGGAGGATTTGAGGATCGGGGGCCAGGTGATAACAGTGCAGACCTTAGGTAGCCTGGGAATTCCAGAGGCCCCAGCTGGGAACCTGGAGTATCCAGAGGGATAAAGGGCCAGCTCTTCAGAGAGAGGGTAGGGTGGTGCCATCATAGGGAGGCTTCAAAGTCATCAGACCTGGCATCAAATTGAGGTTTGTTGCCTAGCAGATGTGTGACTTAACTTCTTTCAGCTTCAGTTTCCTCATCCACCAAATGGGGATAATACTCTTGACCTCAAAGGTTTGTGTGGAAGTTAAATAATTGTGTAAATTGTTCATCACGTAAGTACCTAATATGTGGTCCCTATTATTATGGATGGGAACAAAAGGCAGCACCAAGTCAGGAACTCCAGCCTCGGCTAAGAAAAGGGATTTTCCCTCCATCCTCAGCTAGTGGAGCCCTGAGGGGAGAAGGCGCCCTGAGGGGTAAAAATCCTGGATGAAATATAGAAGACACTGAGACTGGAAACACACCACAGCCCAGATTGGGAAATTCTTTAGAAAAAGGCTAATTCCTGCTCCTAGGCCTTCTCCTCCTCCTGCTGCTTCCCCACTCGGTTCGCCCGGGTGTGTCAGTCGACTGCCTTCCTACCCAGGGAGCTTCCCTGTCAGGGCCTCTTCCTTCCTGTCCCCGTCTGGCCACTCTGTCTGTCCCCTGCCATTTCCCTTCCCTCCTTTGTCCACTGCCCTTGCCCTGCCCATTGCCCCACCCTCACCCGCCTGGTCCTTCCCGGAGCCTGGCCCTCACTGTGTCCCCTCCTCCCCACACAGGTCTGGCACTGGACCGGCTGAGCGCCCCTGACCCGGCCTGGATGGCGAGACTCTCTTTGCCCCTTACCACCAACTACCGTGACAATGTGATCTCCCCGGATGCTGCAGCCACGGAGGAGCCGAGGACCTTCCAGACATTCGGCAAGGCAGAGGCACCAGAGCTGAGCCCAACAGGCACGAGGCTGGCCAGCACCTTTGTCTCGGAGATGAGCTCACTGTTGGAGATGCTGCTGGAACAGCGCTCCGGCATGCCCGTGGAGGCCGCCTCTGAGGCACTGCGGCGGCTCTCGGTCTGCGGGAGGACCCTCAGTCTAGACTTGGCTACCAGTGTGGCCTCAGGCATGAAAGTGCAGGGAGACCCAGGTGGAAAGACGGGGACCGAGGGCAGGAGCAGAGGCAGCAGCAGCAGCGGTAGGTGCCTGTGAACATACCTCGGACGGCTCTGGATCCAAGAATCAGGGGCCTGAGGATCTGGGGACATGAGCTGGTTTCTAAAATCTTGTAACTCACTAGCTAGTGGTGGCCTGAGAACTTTATAGGGTGACTGATGCTACCCCCACAGAGGAGGCAGGAGCCCCAAGACTAACACCTGACTGACCAAAGCAGCCCCTTGTAAGTGGCTCTGCATCTTTTGGAGGACAGGGACAGTTTGTGGCTGAGATAAGTGTTTGCTGGCAAAACATATGTAGAGCACAAAGGGTCAGTCCTCCGGCAGAACAGATGCCACGGAGTACCACAAGCAGGAAAGGATGGCCTTCTTGGGTAGCAGGAGTCAGGGGGCTGTACCCTGGGGGTGCCAGGAAATGCTCTCTGATCTACCAATAAAGGAAAAGCAGTGATTCATTCTCCTGTTTGCACCTGTCAAGAGGGAGAAGGGAAGAGTAATAGAGTGAGGGTTCTTTGTCATCCAATCCCTGGCAAGACTGTCACACCGGGCCTGGACAGGCGTGGGGCACCTTGGTACACAGTGACAGGTACACAAATAGCAGACATGTGTGCTCTTAACCCCGTTCCCCTACCACTACGTTACCAACTAATCTGCTTCTCAGCTGCGAAATTAGAGCTAAGAAAGCACAACTATTTATAAAGCATTTCCATGAGCCAGGCACCAGGCTTTACAATAGGATTTAATTTGATTTTCCAACAGTCCTGGGAGGGAGGCATGATTAACCCCATTTCACAGACATTGATATGGGGCTTGGAGAGGTCAAGTGGCTTTCCCAAGATCAAGCAGGGAGTACAGCCAGAGCCGGGATTTGGACCTGGGCTGGCCCAACACCAAAACCCAGGCCTTCAACCTTGACACCAGCCTGCCAGCGAAGGAGAGGAGAAGGAAAGGCCCTGGAGGTGAGCTGTTGGCAGCAGTGAACTTGCCCGACAGAGCTCTCTTGGGAAACACTGTTGAAAGGAACATTTCCAAAGTCATGCAGGCCTGCACCTCTCTACATTTCCAAGCACAAGGCGAAAGGAACTTGCATCTGAACTGATGCAGGCCCCTGTTCTTTCCGAGCAAGTAGCTCTTCAAGTGCAGATGTCATCTTTCTGGACCCCATTTGCGGGTAAACCTTCCTCTGTTATTGCAGGTTTAGGCTTGTGAATCCCAGAGGACACTGTGAACTGGGTCTGTGAAATCCGCACTGACAGCAGCCAGCCTTCCAGGGGATGAAGGAGGGAAGAAATAGCAGATATTTTCCCAAGGTTCAGCTTTATAATTTTCTTGGAAATTTCCGAGCAGCCAATCAGCTAGCTTCTAAATAGCGTGGGTCTCTCCTGGACACTGCAGGCAAAAGTTCCTCTATCTGCTCCTCTTTTTGTCCTTTCTTGGAGCTCAGTGCTCATGTTCACTGTTCACAGAAATGGGCCAATTATGCTCCCAACTAGGGATAATAGGCATCATACATACTTGGAACACAGTGTGGTGTCATTATTCCATTATTCCAGTTTACAGATGAAGAAAATGAGGCTCCCCAAAGTTATGAGTTTCCGGGGCAGAGTCTCTGGGTTTCTCCTCACCTCACTCTAGGCCAGAGTGATCTCCTTACAGAATCTGTGATTTTCAGGCTGGATCCCAGAACTGTTGGGTTCTGTGGGCCAGTGAGAGAAGCTGGGGGAAACCAAGCAGGCAGGCAGGGTCTCCAGCCTGACCAGCCAGGTGCCTGCCACAAAGCAACACTTGATAAATACCTGTTGAATGGATGTATGAATGAATAAATGTGTCAGTAAATGCTTCAGAGGCCCCTTTTATCCATATTGGAGCTCCAGGTAGGACTTCATTAGAAAAAATGATTCTGTTATGCAAAAGCAAAGTCTGAGAACCACAGTACTAGAGTAGACCATGGTGACCTCCCAGTTACCAGCAGATTTTCAGTGCTGAGCAGATGTTGGGATGGTAGAGAGAAGACAGTGGGCATGGGGAGATGACCTGAGGAAGCTGGAATTATAGGTGGCGACTGGATCACTAGACACATGGGACCATTGCATCATTCTAGTTCAAAAGCTATAAATCTGTACTCCTTGGGCTCCCTGAATACTAGGTAAAACTTTGTGTCTAGGCATTTTTTTTTTTTTTTTAGGCAGAAGATACAAAATTCTCATCAGATTCTCTACAGGAAACTTTGACCTTTAAAAGATTACGCAGCGTTGCTTTAAGATACTATCTAAACATCCACAGACACGGGCAAGTGTCATAAGGAGTCTGAACTTTATCTATTTCAACTCTTCATTTTATAGCCAAGAATATAGAAAGAAATGGCAGATGACTTGCCTAAGGCCACCTGGCAGGTTTGTGGGGGAGAGCTTTCCAAATTAAGATGACATTTAACTGAGTGGTCGCTCAAATCAGGATTTGGATCTGGGATTTAGTATGGTGGTCTTTTTAATACGTCAAAGATTCTTAACCTGACGCCCTTGGTTGGACTTCAGGATCTATGAACCTGCTGAATTGCATGCAAAATTGGAAGGATATGCATTTTTTCTATGGAAAGAAGTAGGTGCTTAGATCAGATTCTCAAAGAGATTTAGGGTCCAATTAAGATTAGGAAGCACTACAATCCTCTAGGTCAGCCCTCAGCCCTGCCTTCCCTGCAGAACCTGGAGAACTCATGGGTAGAGCTGCTCCTGTTCTGAACTTTGATCAGAATGGGGGTGTATGTACGTGAGGGACGGTGTTCTCTCCTGTACCACGTATCCCCTCTTGATGAGCTGATACCGGCACTTTGCCCGATAACAGGCTCAGAGTGAGACCATGTCTATGGTGACAGAACCGGGTGTGCTAAACAGGAAGGTTACAGAAACTTCTTGACATCAGCCAAGATGTCAAAGCTGAGACTTTGGACATGCTCAAAACAGTTTCCACTGAGATGGGCTCTGTCCCCCGGGAGACTGAGGGAGCAGGCGAGCCAGCAAGCACTCAGTTAAACGTTGTCTTAATTTGGAAAGCATAGAGGCATAGAGGGACTTTTTTTTTTTTTAAATCAATAGTCAGCCGTTCTCCAGCACCAGGAGTGCAATGCAGTACTCACTCAGAGCCTGGGGGCAGCTCAGAGATTGACAGGCAGCTGCCTTGTCTGTCACCCAACTTCAGTTTGGCAGCTCACTGACCCTGCCTCTTCTCTGGCTGAAATAAGAGTGATGTGGCAACCACTACCCTTGAAACTCTGGAGAGAACCAAATCCCACAAAAGAGAGGACAGGAGGAGGGAGAGGCTTGGCCTGGTACATAGTGTGTATCTAGAGAATAGATAAGCATTTTCTAGTTCCTACTAAATTTTGGGTACGATGGCGGAGAAGTAGTAGGACATGATCAGAAACACTCATGCAACAAACATTTTGTATTTATTGAACAATTACTAAGTGCCAGAAGTAGCACAGGGAACCGTGTGTGTTTGTGTGTGTGTGTGTGTGTGTGTGTGTGTGTGTGTAGGTGGCAAGTGGGGGGCAATACAGAATTATTCATTCAAGTTATTTAAAATTATTCATTCAAATTACTTGAAGTGCCTACTATGTGCTGGGTAGGCTTGGTGCTGGGCACTGGGTGGGGTGGGGGGTTGCTGAATGTATATTTACTGAACATCTGAGTGTCCCACACTATAATAGCACTAAAGATATAGTGAACCAAATAGCCTTGTTCTCATCATAGTGTCAGGATTCCCTGCAAACAGCATCTCCAGATAGGGAAACTGAGGCAGTAGAGCTTCCCACAGAGGTCTCATTGGTGAGGGTGCCAGGCTTTAACCCAGCATCCTGACCCAGGCTGGCCCTGCTGATGGGAGCCACCTCCCTCTCGTCCTCTCACACTTCCTCTGGGGCACTGATGATGAGTCATTAATAACAGAATTTTAATGGCAAAAGCACAGCAGTCCCCAGCTCTGCCAATGAAGCCCATCCCCTTGGTGCTGGATCAAGACCGCAGTGACTAACAGCCAAGGATTTTTGGTCCCTTGACAACACCTTTCTCACAACTTTGCCATCCTTCTCTTTCCACAGGAGAGGCCCTTCCTTTTTAAATTGGAGAGCTTAAAAATATCCTACCCCCAACCTTTGGTGCCCCAAATTGAATCAGTATTTAGCTCAGTAGTGACTGAGTGGGAGGGAAAGCCATTCAGGGAGGGCTGCATCTGGCCTTCACCACAGGACCCCGAGTGTCCAGACTGTGAACCAGCCCTTGGCCCCAGCTATGGCTACAAGGCAGTAGTCAGAAAATCCAAAATGACCACAGAGGGGAGGAGGCTGGGGAGTGGCTCCACAGGGAGGGCACACAGTGACACTTCATGCAGAGGGTGCCCCAGGAAGGCTCAAAAGCAATCTGTAGGGAAACAGGCTCTGGGCTCAACTCAGTGAGGGAAAACATTGGGTTAACCAACTTCTTTGCTGGAGGACTTCTTGGAACCTCAAATATGCTGATGTATATTGTGAATCTATAAAAAGGGGACGTCTGGTGCAGCGTTTCCCAAACTTATTTAACCACAGAAACCTTTTTTTATTTGTTTTTTGGCAGAGAGCTTAGTGCACTGCACAGCTTAAAAATCTGAGTTTGAAACCTCAGGTTTCCTACCCTGCACGGGGGGCCTTGCGCTCAGTGCTGGGGACACTGGAATACAAAGATAAGATCCCTGCTCCCAAGGAGTGCCATCTGTGGAAAGTGGCCATGTGCAGGGTCCAATAGCGGTGAACCAGTGTGCAGGGAAGCCCAGAAAAGGAGGCAGGGAGCAGGTGAGGAGCTGGAGCTAGAGGACACTTGGGCTCCCCAGGTGAAAGGGAGGTGCTAGCAAAGTGTGGCAGGACCACTTAGAAGTTGGGAGAGGTGGGGCGGGAAGCAGAGAGGGAAACGTGAACAACTTTCCCCCCTCAAATCTTCTTGCCTTTGAATTGGCCAAGCTGGTTGGTCTCCACTCAGTCACGGGATTGTGAGGAGTGGGCCCTCTATCCCTCCCAGCCCCCACCCTCAACCACATCTATGCTATTCAACTTGGGCGAACATCCAGAAGCCAGGGAATAGCTATTCACAAACTCAGTAATTGGACTCATTAGCGTTGACTCAGAAATCTTTTTTTTTCCTAAGTCTCTCTCTTGGAGAAGCTTTTAAGATCCTTTAAATTGGTTAATGGAGAGTTTAGAGATGAGGACGGAGCCTCAGCTTTCAGCTCCCCCTGCCCGTCTCCCTGGCTCTTCCCAACATACTCAAGGGCAAGAGTGATGATATAATCCAATATCTGTTTTATTAAACATCTAGACATTTCTGGCACACGTTTCCCAAACGGGGACCTCAAAATCACACTCTCCAGCTCTAGGACTCCTAGCATTCAATCTACATTTACTCTCCCATGACTAGGACAGTCATAATGCTTTCACATAAAATTGCAGTCTGAACTGATGGACAAGAACCCTGGGCCAGGAGTCAGGAGGCCCAGGTCCTCATCCTGGCCCAGCGACACATAAAGTCATGCAACCATAAGCATCACTGCCTCCCGGGCCAAAGTGAGCACAAAGGTCCTCTCTGTGGTGAAATGCCCTTGCATTTGTCTTGTAAGGTAGGAGGGCAGACACCATTGCCTTTGGTATACAACTGAGGAAGCAATATAGAGTCAGGTCACTGCTTCAAGGTGACACGGCCAGGCAAGTGGCAGAGCCAGACCTGCGTCTTCACATACTTTCCTCTTCTTGATTGTACTGGCACAGGTGCTTAGCGTTTGGGGGAAGGTGGGTGGGGAACCGGCCTCTTCTTCGGGACTCAAGTTGTGATATCTCTCTGAGAACCCACAGGCTCCATCTTTAGGGCTGAAGTGAGAAGTTCTGAAAGTCAAGCAGACACATCCAGGCATTTGGGCAAGAAATGTCTTCCTTCCAAATCAAAGGGGAAATGAAAATGATTATGAGCCCATGGGGGATGAATAGAGGTGAATGGTGGAGCTAGTCTTGAGGATGGCCTAATTCAGTATTTTTAAGTGCCAGCCATTCACGGAACCGCCCCTATGATTTTTGCTCTCTCTCTGGACCTGTGCCCCCTTTTACATTGTTTTTCTTTAAACTGATTCACTTTTTTACAGTTAGCTTTATCCTAGACAGAACATCTGCCAAACTACAGCTCAATATGCTAGTCATATTTTTATATTATACATTAAATATGTAATTACTGAAATAGAAAATATTAATTTGAATACCACCTAAAATCTTCTTGTGAACCAGGGATACACACATCAGACATTGGCAAACAGCAGTACAGGATTAAGTGTGAGAAAACCAAGGCATAGGAAGGGAGAAGGTAAGTTATTTGCTCAAAGACAAAGGCTAAGGTGAGCACAAGGGTCTCTGGACCCTTCAGTAGGGCTTTTCATAGGTCACTGAATGCATCCTTTGGTGCACAGACCAGAAATGACTGTGGATGCATCCAAGGCTCATCTGTGAGGCTACCAAGTGTGGGGGAAGATCAGTCACTTACTAGCCATGTATGTGAAATTGCTTGGGAACCTAAACTCCTGCTGTAATTTCTACCTGGAAAGGGTTACTGATGCTTTATTTTTGTTATCCAACCTCCTGCTCCCTCTGGTCCCTAAGAGGCACCACGGACTATGTTTTATCTCACCTTAGCCAAAACCTAGTCTTACAACACTCCCTTCCAGTGGGTAGGGGGGTGGGAGAATAGCCCTGCTGGAGGATTCCAGGCTGGCTCCAAGATGCCCACTTCTGCAGAGGCGGCCAAGGTTCCCTGTGCTCGAGGCATGTGGTAGGCG